TCCAAAACAAAAAATAAATTTAATTAGAAAAATGGCACTGTTTTACATGTTTGCAAATCTCTTTAATGTCTGGCTTAACAGAAGGCAGCTGGATTCTCATATCTGGCTCTGCATTCAATCTGTTACAATATCACACATGTAGATTTTGAAAAACTCCAATATACACTTGTGAAAAATGAGAATGAAAATAGCAAATACTGTCTCAGATTTTTTATGAAAATAGTTTTGATTTCACAGACCCCTGAAAGAGTCCTGCGGATTCACAGGGGTATCCAAACCATTTTGAGAACTACTTACTTACATCAGTCCTATGTGGCAAATGTAAAAGCTGAGGCACAGAGAGAATAAATCAATTACAGTCACAAAGCTAGGAATGAACCCAGAAATTCTGATTCCAATCCCCAGGGTTGCCCCTCAGAGCCAGGAGGAAAGCAGCAGGGGCCCATTTCATAATGTTTTACATAATGATTAAAAAAAACCCCACTGGCTGCCTGGCAGTCACAATACCAGACCTCCACTCCACCTAATGTGCTAAAATTTCAAATTAAATCTTTTAATTCATGCAAAGCAGAGGTAAGGGGTGCTGGTCTACCCTTCAAGGGAAACAGCATCACTTGAGGGATGAAGTACATTAGGGCAGGAATAGCCAAATGCCCTGGAAGCTTCTCAAGGAATAGCTGTCTCTTCCAAACCGAGCTATTATGTCTGTCTCTAGAACTCTTACCCCATTCAGACCCCTCCTTACACCATTCAATCTACACAGAATACTGCCTTCAATTCTTAATTAAAATGTTCAGAAAGAAGAGTAATAAAGAGACTAGTTCTATCAGATAGTAAAGCATACTATAAATTGATAGCAATTAATATAGGATTGTCCTAGTATATATGATCAGGAGGTAAGGCAATAGATCAGAATACATAGCCTAAATTAGACTCAATTATAGAAAATGCAGTACATTATAAAGTGGATCTAATAATTCAAGAAGTAAATAAACTGAACAGTTTAGCAATTTGAAAAAAAAATCTACTTAGACCTTCACTTTTAATCATATGCCAAAATAAATTCTAGCTAGATGAACTGTTTTTACAAATAGAGGAGCCTGCTGAGGCTGGGCAAGGCAGGACCAGACCTTATTCAGTACTGCATCCCCAGGCCTCTTCCAGGGCTGCAGCACAGCTGCCCCAAACAGAAGAAACTAATTTGAGTTTCAACTCTGTGGCTAGTCTATTATTCGATCTTGGGCAAGTTATTTTGCTTCTTGGTCCTTAATTTCTGATTTATAAAGAGTGGATAGTAATGATACCTGCAGCATGAGAAGACTCACTGTAAACTTTAAAGTGCTATACAAATTAGCAGGAGTATAGAAACTGCATTCATCCATGTTCCTACCACTCAGATATGCTTAGCATTAATATTTTAGTGCTAAAAACAATGCCAATTTTCTTAGTAATTTTATTTTATAAAGTAGACATTTTAAGAACATACACTTTTCCTCGGGGCCTCAGTACAATTATTTTAATTCTGAATGGGTAAAAGATGCATCCCCTAAACATGTTTATTTCCCCTGAATTGGCCCTTCTATCAAAAAAAGGCCTGAGGGGCTTCCCTGGCGGCGCAGTGGTTGCGAGTCCGCCTGCCGATGCAGGGGATGCGGGGTCGTGCCCTGGTCCTGGAAAATCCCACATGCCGCGGAGCGGCTGGGCCCGTGAGCCATGGCCGCTGAGCCTGCGCGTCCGGAGCCTGTGCTCCACAACGGGAGAGGCCGCAACAGTGAGAGGCCCGTGTACCAGAAAAAAAAAAAAAGGCCTGGGGCTTCCCTGGTGGCGCAGTGGTTGAGAATCTGCCTGCTAATGCAGGGGACACGGGTTCGAGCCCTGGTCTGGGAGTATCCCACATGCCACGGAGCAGCTGGGCCCGTGAGCCACAACTACTGAGCCTGAACTTCGCAACAAGAGAAGGCCGCGATAGTAAGAGGCCCGCACACCGCGATGAAGAGTGGCCCCCGCTTGCCACAACTAGAGAAAGCCCTCACACAGAAACGAAGACCCAACACAGCAAAAAAAAAAAGAAAAAAAGAAAAAAAAAAAGGCCTGGCATCACTGCTCTAAGGGATTTGGGAAATTTTCTCTTCACTGCTACTTTCAGGAAGCCTCAAAGCAGGAGATGGGCCCATGAAGTCCATGTGGGGTGGAGGGGAGCAGGGAGGGAAGGAGCGACACAGCCCAGCAAGACACCGAATTAGAGAAACGCTGACATGACCTTGAGCAAACTATTTACCTTCTCCTAGTCTCCAAAAACTGGAGATGCCAACCCTTACTGTACCAATAAAAAGACTAAAATGAGGTAATGTACACAAAAACCCTTAGCACCCAACTATAGGTAGACATCAGAGAGCAAGGCTTGAGTAAATGCTGGTTTCCCTTCTCTGTTCCCCCTCTCTTTCATAAAGCTATCCTGGTTCTTCCTGCACTTCCCTGACTTCTCTGACAATACCTCTCCTCTCCTTCCCCAGAAGAACCCTTCTGCTCCAGTGAGAGGTCTGAGGTAAAGGCACGTGCCATCCATATATTTAGTTATTCAAATTGCAGGCAAGAGTCGCAAGCTCCCCACCCCATCCCAAACCCTATCAACCACCACTACTGTCCCACCCAGTTTCCCGCTAGGATACTCACACTGCGGAGTGTCATTCACAATGCATGCAGTGAGGTTGGCACCACTTGGAGCTGTGTGCAGTGCTCAGCCCTGCACTTTACCCTCACACTTCCCCGACAGTGGCTGAGCCAAGCCTCCCACAAGGCCTACTACAGTTGCAGTGCTGGAAGTTAACTCCATTCTCTACTTCATCCACTGCAGTAAAGCCCATAAACATAGTTGAGGTACCAAACAAAACTTTGTAAGGTGTTACTATAAAGTAATGAAACTGACTGCACTTATCACTCTCATCTCCTGTAATCACACTTTGTACCTTCAGGTGTGAGAAAGTAAGGAATACACATAGAGTCAGCCCTCCGTATCCATGGGTTCCACATCCGAAGATTCACCATCCACAGATCTAAAATACTGGGAGAAAAAAACCCAGAAAGTTCCAAAAGCAAAATCTGAATTTGCCACATGCCACAGGCAACTATTTACATAGCATTTACACTGTGTTAGGTATTATAAGTAATCAGAGATGATTTAAAATATACGGGAGGGACTTCCTGGTGGCGCAGTGGTTAAGAGTCCGCCTGCCACTGCAGGAGACACAGGTTTGCACCCAGGTCCGGGAAGATCCCACATGCCGCGGAGCAACTAAGCCCAAGTGCCACAACTACTGAGCCCGTGCTCTAGAGCCCGTGAGCCACAACTACTGAGCCCACATGCCACAACTACTGAAGCCCACACATCTAGAGCCCGTGCTCTGCAAGAAGAGAAGCCACCACAATAAGAAGCCCATGCACCACAACAAAGAGTAGCCCCCACTCACTGCAACTAGAGAAAGCCCACGTGCAGCAACAAAGACCCAATGCAGCCATAAACAAACAAATAAATAAATTTATATATAAAAAAATAAAACATACAGGAGGATGTAGGTAGGTAATATGCAAATTCTATGCCACTTTTTATAAGGGATTTGAGCATCCCTAGATTTTAGTATCCTCGAGGGGTGAGGGGTTGGGGGTGAGTTGGGGAGGAGTCAGGGTGTGCCTTGGAACCAATCCCTTGTAGACACCGAGGGACGACCGTAGCTACAATTTGTCATACATAAAACCTCCTATTGTTCATTCAGTTTAGCTCAAATTTAAAGCACTTAGTCCGGGGAGTTCCCTGGCAGTCCAGTGGTTATGACTCTGCGCTTTCACTGCTGAGGGGCTGGGTTCAATCCCTGGTCGAGCAACTAAGATCCCACAAGCCACGCGGGGTGGTGGGGCGGGGAAAGCACTTAGTCACTTCCAACTGTTTTGTTGGCCTCTGTACTACTAGTTTCTGACTCTTGAGATTGTGATCCCATCAAATACTCCTCATTCAGCTTGGTCTCCTGGAATAATGGTTTCATTGCCTTTCTTTGATGTACATATGTGGCATAGATTCTACAGCTTCTGTTTTATGCATGTATAATCTCCTCTACCTTTTGCCTCTTCTTTTTTCACACTATTCTTTGTCTCCTGTCCTCCATTCTAGATCTATCAGTATTCATGTCTTTTTCTCATCTTTTTATGTTCTTTTGTTTTGGTTCTTTTGGTCATTTTGCTTAAGGAGTGTATCATGTTTAGATATTATTAATCCTTCTTTGTAATATCACGTTCATAGCTTGATTATACATACCTATTTTATTTTTAAAAATTTATTTATTTTATTTATTTATTTTTGGCTGTGTTGGGTCTTCATTGCTGTGCGTGGGCTTTCTCTAGTTGTGGCGAGCAGGTTGTACTCTTCCTTGCGGTGCATGTGCTTCTCACTGCAGTGGCTTCTCTTGTTGCAGAGCATGGGCTCTAGGCACGCGGGCTTCAGTAATGTGGCTCACGGGCTCTACGAGTGCAGGCTCAGTAGTTGTGGCACAAGGGCTTAGCTGCTCCACAGCATGTGGGATCTTCCCGGACCAGGGATCAAACCTGTGTCCTTTGCAATGGTAGGTGGATCCTTAACCACTGAGCCACCAGGGAAGTCCCCATATCTATGCATTTTAAAAGCAAATTCTATTTATTCACTCAACAAATATATACTGAGTGCCAACTATGTGTCTAGTACTAAAGCTATAGTAGAGTTAGCCTCATTCACAGAATTTAGTCTGTAGGTTAGAATAGGCAATGTGGATATATATTCTTTCCACCAGACTATGAAGAATAAGAAACAGTATTGATCCAAAGCAACAGACAGAAAAGACTTTTTACAGGGAACAGAAAAATAAGTACTTTAAATAGCATAATAAGTCCAAAGAAAGTAAAAAGAAGAGAATGAACCCTCCTCTACTTCACAAGTTGTATCAGCAATTTAGAATTAGAAGAAAACATTTCCAAACCTCACATCCACTGTATTATTTGACTCATGGTCAAATACTTCAAAAGCTTCTTTGATTTTTTTGTGAAATTCTGCTACTGCTATCTCTGCAAAAGAAAAAGTAAATAAAAATTATTTTTTTAACTTTAAATTCAAAACAAAAATGTCAATAACTAGAAATTCTAGGAAGGAAGAACATGGCAGAACTCCTTCCTAATATTTTTTATTGTGGGGGTGGGGAGAGGCTCTGTAGGAGAATGTCTTTACGCTTAGGAGAGGCATGCTGAACTCTTTAAGACTGAAATGTTATGATGTTTGCAATATACTTTTCTCCCCCCTTCCCAATATTCTTTCTTTCTTTCTTTCTTTCTTTCTTTTTGCGGTACGCGGGCCACACTCACTGTTGTGGCCTCTCCCGTTGCGGAGCACAGGCTCCAGACGCGCAGGCTCAGTGGCCATGGCTCACGGGCCCAGCCACTCCGCGGCATGTGGGATCTTCCCAGACCAGGGCACGAACCCGTGTCCCCTGCATCGGCAGGCGGACTCTCAACCACTGCGTCACCAGGGAAGCCCCCGATATCCTTAATGTATCATTTGGCATGTTTAACTTCCTCTAGAGATCTCAAAGAACGGAGCTTTTTTTAAAAACTTTTTTACTGAGGCATAATACACAAACAAGAAAGTACCAAAGGTGCACTGATCTCAAGTACACAGCTTACTGAGTTTTTATATATGTATATAGTCATAGAGCTGAACTACCACCCAGATCAAGATATAGAACATTTCCAGCACCAGCCTATCTTCCATCTCAGTTTGGGTAGATCCTAGCCTGAGAAGCAGAAGGAATCCAGTGCCACAGATATTGTGTTTCTCTAGTGTGTCCACCTGTCTTGCTTTACTCTATGCTTGAGGAGGATGGAAATTGGGGAGTGGGAGGCATACAAAAGCAACATGTTACACTCGCTCAAAAAACTTTCAAACTAGTTTTGAGACTAAAACTTACTTAGATGAAACAATTAAAACGTCATTTACTCAGTAAATATTGATTGAGTACCTACTACGTACTACACACTATTCTAAGTGCTACGGTTAGAGCAAGGAACAAAATAGACAAAAATTCCTGCCTCCGTGGAGCTATTTTGTGCATGGTGGGGGAGATGCATAAGCTTATACACACTTGGTAAAATACACAGTAAGTCCAATGGTGCTAGAAAAAATAAAGCAGGGAAGGGACATGGGCACTGGCAATGTGGGTAGGGGAGAATGGGATGGGATGGTGGTTTGGGAAGGCCTACCTAAGTGATAAGGTGACATCTGCACACACCAGAAGGAGGAGAAAGAGCCAGCCTCGTGAATATCTGCAGGAAGAGTTTTTAGCCAGAGAGAACAAGAAAGGGAGAATGGTAGGAAATAAGGTCAGAAAGGTATGAGTTTGGGGGTGGGGACAGATTCTATAAGGGCTCTGCAGGCTACTTTAAGGACGGTGTCTTGTACTTTAAAAGAGGTGAGAAACCACTGGAGGGTTCTAAGCAGCGAAGTGACATGGTCCGGCTTCTATTCACTTTGGCTATTATGTTAAGAATACCATGGAAAGGAACAAGGGTGGAAGAAAAGAGACCAGTTATGAGGATATTGCTATATTCTATTCTTTTTTTTTTTTTTTTTTTTTTTTTTGGTACGCGGGTTTCTCCCGTTGCGGAGCACAGGCTCCGGATGCGCAGGCTCAGCAGCCATGGCTCATGGGCCCAGCCACTCCATGCATCGTGCATCGGCAGGCAGACTCTCAACCACTGAGCCACCAGGGAAGCCCTGCTATATTCTAGATGAGAGAATATTGTACTTACTGTTTGAAAAACAAATAGTTTTTCTAGGAAAAGTGGAAAGGGAGAGATTAAGTATGAGTTTAGATAATTACTTTAATTATAAATATATTCCCTTTACCCTAACGACTAACATAACATTTTGCTGTATTTTCCTTTCTCCGTACACAACCTTTTATAACTACCATTCATTCTCCTAACTACTTCACTGAAATGTTTTATTTTTCCAGGTTGCAACATAACCTTCAATTCTGAACAGTACCAAAGGAATGTAACAATTTATTGATAGTGTTAATTTTTCTTTATTATAATAAATAACATGGCAGCAAACTTCTATTAGTTTAATAAGCAAGTAAATGTTATCTCATTATTTAAATTTACAGCTCTTTGCTTACAAGTAAGTCTAAATAATAATCTTTTATGCTTGTTTACTATGTTATGAATTGTCTGTTCATGTTCTCTGCTCATCCCTACTGTGATCTTCTGTTTTTTCTTAACAATTTGTATGAGCTCTTTAAATAATAAAGACTTAACCCTATGTCATGATTACTGAAAACAATTTTCCAGGTCAGTTGTTTTCATTTGTTTTCCTAAAATGAAAACAGTTCCATCTCCTTTATGATCACCAAAATCACACATGATTACTGAAGAAAAAAAAAAAGGAAAGAAGTTTAGACTAAGTAAAAACCACTTCAAATCCTACCAAGCAGAGTTAACTACTCTCAATGTTGTCCTCTAATCTAATTTTTCACTCAACAATAAACTGTGAGCATCTTTTTATTCTCAAAAAAAATTTATTACATTATCATTTTTAGTGTCTGATATTCCATTATAGAACTTTATCATAATTTATTAAACCAACTCCCTAATTGTAGACATTTAGGTAGTTCCCAATTTTTTTGTTTTTACAATAATTCTTGAGTGAACCATTCTTCCCAATTCGTCTTTGTTCATTTGTCTTATTATCTCGCTGAAATACAGTAAGTTGAATTTGTGTTAGATATTGGGAAGGCTCTTATTAGTCTTAATAGTACCGTGGGAAAATCTCACTGGTTATAATACTGCCATTGCACAAAGCTGATGTTTGCTTTTTAAATTTAAGATTATTTTTTAAAGTACATTATCTTTTATTTTTATTTTAGTCACATCTGTTAAGATTTCTTCTCATCCTTTAAAGTTTAGAAACATATCCTTTGAAAGGACCACCAAAAGAGGGAGAAAATCATCCTTTTTCTATAGGTTTGGTGAATACTCAATTCTATTTTCTTCTACAATTTAAAAATACACTTACTCTTAAATCCATCTGAAAGCTATTTTGTCATGATTCAAAGTGAAAGATTAATTTCTAATCTTATTTTAGTAATTTCTAATTTACTAAGCACTTGAGTTCTTTCCTCCTATTTTATAATGTGTTATAATCCTTTATGTGATGGAGACTAGTTCTATTGATTGTCTATTCTATCAATTCTATTCTGAATTGCATTTCTAGTCTTACACCATTACCACCCTATTTTACTAATTAACACTGTTATTGGTCTTCTTTTTAGGAATGTTCTTTAATATTCTCACCCGTGTATTCTTCCGAATGAAATTTAGAAATCCAAATAAAATTTAGAAATTCCAAATAAAACACCATTGGGAGTTTTATTGCTATTGCAGTGAAGCCATATGCTGAGAAAGAATTAACATTTTAAAATAGTTTTCGGACTTCCCTGGTGGTGCAGTGGTTAAGAATCCGCCTGCCAATGCAGGGGACACGGGTTCGAACCCTGGTCCAGGAAGATCTCACATGCCATGGAGCAACTAAGCCTGTGCACCACAACTACTGAGCCTGCGCTCTGAAGCCCGCATGCCACAACTACTGAGCCCGCATGCCACAACTGCTGAAGCCTGAGCGCCTGGAGCCTGTGCTCCGCAGCAGGAGAGGCCACAACAGTGAGAGGCCCGCATACCGCAAAAAAAAAAAAAAAAAAAAAAAAAAAAAAATTGAGGAGCTTATATTTAAAAATCTGATCAGGAATTGAAAAAAGTCATCCCTCGAATCCACAGGGAGATTGGTTCCAGGACCCACGGATACCAAAATCCGAGGACACTCAAGTTCCTTATATAAAATGGCGTAGTATTTGCATATAACCTACACACATCCTCCCATATATGCTAAATCACCTCTAGATTACTTATAATATCTAATACAATGTAAATGCTATATAAGTAGTTGCTGGGCACACTGCAAATTCAAGTTTGAATCTGAAATTGAAAGCTTCGTGTTGTAAAAACTCTATACCCATCACCTGTATCAAACTATGACTAATATTTTGCTGCTTTTTGCTTCTTCCCTATGTCTCTGTCTCTAAGTAAATTGCAGACATTACAATTATTCATCCCTAAATACTTCAACACGCACCTCCTAAAAATAAGGACATCCTCCTACGTAACCCCAATATAATTATGACATCCTTAAAAATTAACAAAAATTCACTAAAATCATCTAATATCTATTCAATATATAAATTTCTAAATTGTACCATAATGTCTTTTTTATAGTTATTTTTTCAACTTACACTCTAATTAAAGTTTATGTACTACATTTGGTTTTAATATTTTTTGGTCTCTTTTAAACGACCGCAGTCCTTCATCCTTCCCTAGTCTCCTACCCCTCTATGGAATTAGCTCGCAGAAGAGACCAGGCTATGCAATGTCTTATAAAATGTCCTACATTCTGGACTTGTCTGATAGCAGTTCTTGTTTCACCTTCAGGGTAAAAAACTACTTCTCCATTAAGTTTCATTCCTTCAGGACATACCATCGGCTACACCTTCTCACTGCTGTCTTTTACTGATTCTCTGATCACTTTCCTCCAAATTTATCACCCCAACTAATTCAGTTTCCAACAACCCATCCCCACAGTTCTATTTGATCATCAACACCTTTTGATTCCACTTATTAAATTGTTTTAAAATCTGTCTCCCTCCTTCCATTTCCACTGCCACTGCTTAAGTTTAGACCTTCATCACTTCTGAACTGGATTAATACAGTCACTTCCTGTTTTTTCTGCCTTTAGTCTCCTTTCCCTCCATTCCCATTCCATTCTTCAAATCACAGTCCACATTTTGCTAGAATGATCTTTCTAAAACAAAAGTTTGCTCATATGACTTCCTGGTTTAAAATCTTTCAATGGTTCCCAAGGTCTTTAAAAAAGACCTTTACAACCTTGCCCCCTTTTTATCTCAAAAATGCCATTTCTCAGCACGTTCCCATACAGATTCTCCACCTTGAAAATCTTTGTA